ATCAATCAATCAAACCCCCTTTTTTTTTTTTTTTTTTTTTTGCATCTGCATTTTTTCAAAACACCTCATACTTCTGCAAAAAAACATAAATTCATTTCTTAAAAAATACAGGTAAACTCACGGACCATATATCTCACGATAAAAAATGACCAAAAAAAAATCCTGCTTTTCTTTATATATTGTTTTTAATTTTGTTTAAATCGATTTTAGTTTTTGATTTTTTTTAAATCTTAAACAAAGTTGGATTCCAAAAAAACAAATATAGGAGTGTAGGGTTTTTTTAGCCCTAGACGCCCATATTTTTTATTTTATTTTTTCATGCATTAGAAAAAAAAAAAAATCTTGCACCGAAGTCGGCTGGGCGGCCTAGGCCAAACCCGGCCTATTCGGCCATCGGCCTAGGCCGCGGCCGACTCGGACCCCTCGGCCGCGGCCGAGCGTGCAACATAGGTGTGAGGCTGCTTTCAAGCGATTGAAGCATGCCCTCATGAATCATGAGGTTATCATGGTGCCCAATCCTCATAAGCCTTTCATTGTGACCACTGACGCAAGCCACTACGACATTGGCGTAGTGCTGGCTCAGCAGGATGGGAAGAAGTTGAGACCGATTGAGTATATGAGCAAAAAGATGCCATCAAAGAAACTGGCAAAGTCCACCTATGAAAGGGAACTCTATGCACTCTACAAGGAACTTGTCCATTGGAGGCACTTTCTGTTGGGGCGGTTCTTCTATTTGAGAACTGGCCATCAGACCCTTAACTGGATCAAGACTCAACTTGCGCTTTCTGATGCACTCAAGCGATGGATTGAGGTCATAGATCAGCATGACTTCAAGTTGGAGTATCTAAAGGGAGAGTACAACAAGGTTGCGGATGCGCTGTTACGTAGGGCAGATTACCTGGGGGCGCTAGTTTCCGAATTTGGCATATCTGAGGAGATAACTCAATCATTGGTGAGAGCCTATCAGGAAGACCCTGTCACGATGGACATCATACGCAAACTGCAAGCGAAAGATAAGTCCGCAGAAGGTGAGTTTGTGATGGTGGATGGGTTGCTCCTTCTGAGAAAGGCTGGGATTGAAAGATTGATTGTTCCATCTAGTGAGAATTTGCGCAGTTTATTTCTAGGTGAATGCCATGATGCAACGGGACATTTTGGCTACAAGAAGACAAGTGCCAACTTAGTCCAGCGATTTTGGTGGCCCGGTATGCTAGACGACGCAAAGATGTATGTGCAGACTTGCCAGGTCTGTCAGCGAGACAAGCCAAGAACTCAAACACCGCTTGGGTTGTTGAAGCCCTTGCCCATTCTCGCTGGACCACGACAGAGTGTCTCCATGGACTTCATGGACACCCTGGTCACCAGCAAAAGTGGCAAGAGGCATATCTGTGTTGTCAATGACAGGTTTACCAAGTTCGCTAGACTGATTGCCATGCCAGAGACTGCGAGGACTGAGCACGTCATCAAGTTGTTCATGGACAACTAGGTATGTGATTTCGGACTGCCAAAATCAATCATTAGTGACAGAGATGTCCGCTTTACAAGTGAGTTGTGGAAGAAGACTGCTGAGCAATTAGGCGGTCAACTTCAGATGACCTCCGGGAATCATCCCGAAGCCAACGAACAGGCCAAACAGATGAATAGAGTTGTACAACATCTGTTGAGGCATTACATCAAGCCCAACCAGGATGACTGGGATGAGAAATTGCCTCTCATCGCCAGCCTGTACAACAACGCTGTACACAGCAGTACCGGCGTCAGTCCTAACCAGTTGCACTTGGGATGGAAGCCTAGATCAGCGCTGGACTTCCTCCTGCCTGAAAACCGACCCTCTGCAACTCCGGGCACACTTGAGTATGGTGTGCAGTATGAGAAGTTGCTACAGCAAGCTGTCGAGCACATCTGGAAATCTCAGGAAGCAATGATCGCTTTTGAGAACAAACATTGTCGACAGTCCACATTTCAGGTAGGGGAACGTGTCTGGGTCAAGCCTAGTGAGCTAGGACAGGAATTCGGTATCTCTCGAAAACTAATGCCACAGTATTTTGGTCCCTGGGAAGTCCTGGACGTAGTTGGGGATGATTTGGATGGTCCTTCCTATGTTATCCGTATCCCTGGTCACTTGTGCACTTACCCTATTTTTCACGCCTCAAAGCTTGCACCTTGCGCTGAGACAGATCAATTCCCTCAAGGAGATCAACGCTGCCCCCAACCATGTATGGCCACGTGGACATCGATGACATTCTGGAACACAGAGACGTGCCTGTTCCCAGACCTCTTGGCAAAGGAAGACCTCCAAAACCCAAGAGAGAATACAGAGTCAGATCCAGGCATCACACAGATCCAAAAGAAGATCGGTGGTTCACCAGAGAGGAACTGATTGAAACAGCACCTCAGGCGGTGGCTGAATATGAAAGACAACTAAGAGGGGGAGGCACCTGCGAAGTAAGCATCTCAGCGGACTTTCGAAGCTAAGGGGGATGGAATGTGAGGATTGAGCCCTCAACGGGGCCTTGCCGACATGCATATGTTCTGGGCATAGGCCCCCAGCATGCCTCGTGCCCGCCCTAAGTGAAGGCGGGCCAGAATATCCACGAGAGGCCTTCATTCAGCATTTCACAAAGTGGGTGGGTATCAGACAGTTGCCACACGCCAGTTGGTTGGAGTGCATCGGGAGCCTCACACTCCTGCAGAGGCAGTCAAGCCCAGGGCCTCAGTTGGTTGAGCCCTGGGCGACTGTTGCATACTGTAACGTGCAGACCAGAACAAGAACCGACCTCTCAATGCAAAGTATAAGATAGCACAACGGAAGACTTAGACACCAATGATCCGAACAATCAATATTGCAATGCAGCCCTTAACATACATCATCATCATCGTTACACGGTGTGAATGGGGTCTAGCGCTTCACATAGGAAGACTGCGCCAGCCCCCTATCATACACAAACGAAGAGGAAGGGGTTAGACGAAGAGGAGGGGAAGATGGGAATGTCGTCAACACCAAGTCTTCGGCACAGCCCAAATAGTCCCTCGTCCAAATGTCTGAATCCCAAATGGCAAGTCTGGATCCAATGTCGTCAAGTCTCAAGTCACAACTCTCTCTCTGTAGTAGTCCGCTGATACTGAGAAGTCAGGTGGTGACAGGGGAAGAAGAGATGGTGGACTTAGAAGA